GGATCTTATAATTACCCAGCCATTATAATACTTATAAACTAAAAGACACCTCATTATATCAATACAAATAAAAGAAATTACCTTGGTTAGTTATTAGTTATTAACATGTCCTCTTTAGGGGAACCAAACAACAACTTTCACGTTTTGACTCTGTCAAAAAATAAAATCTATCGTTCGTGTCAACAAAAAAAAAATATGTACAACGCCAACCAATAATAAGTACGCGTTTGTCGATCAAATCAACAATTCTTTTCTTTTGTATTTTGCACTAATTCTAATAATCTCTGAAATCTCAAATTGGTGCAGATCCTCCAAAATTACACAAACTAAACAACCATTACATACAATCTTTATTCCAATCTAACTTCACCTGTAATACTTGCAGCTGGATTAATCCCATCATCTCTAATTAACTCCATATATCCAATATTTACTTCTCACAACTCTCTATTATAAAAATGTCTGGCTTCCACGATGTGCTTTGTTTAACTCATGGTTAAAACAAAATAATATCAACTTGAAAAATAAAACAGCTAATCAATTATACCGAATTAATCAGATAGCACAAACACCATCTAATAATTCTCATCTAGTTTTAATAAATAACTTCATTAACACTGGATATTACCTAGGTAATATCCGAATCAGTCAACAATATCTATGATCCAGTTAAAATAATCATGTATTTTTCCGCAAAAATATCCGCAAATCGCCAAATCAATTTCTAAATAAGGATAACACGCACCCAACCCACCAATAAAATTGGATATTTTCATGATGCTGCGCAAATTTGCGGATATTTTTGCGGAAAAATACATGATTTTCAGTTAAAGTTGTTAAATTGAGACTGAATAAACTTCATAGACTTTCTTTGGCATATTTGTTTTTTTCTAAAATGTTAAATTTAAATATGTATGTGTGTATATATATATATACAGTGTGTTAAGAAAAAAATTGGCCTGACAAAAAATTGAATTACTTGACAAATACACAAGATAGTTAAATAAAATTAGATTAGTTTAAAAGCAATCAATTATTTTATTGAATAAAAAAAATAAAAATTTAATTGATACAAAATGATATTGCTAATTTTTTGTAAGGTCAAACCATGTCTTCTTTTTAAGCTTCTTTGAATTTTTGTCTCTGAAATTTTAACATGGAATTTTTTTAACAATTGCTCTAACACAAAAACACACATAATAATTATACAAAAAAATTGTAGTTTAGATTATGGATATAAAATTATATGTGTCCATATTTTCCAGAACAACTTTGGTTAAAAATAAAAGAAATTCAATTATTTTTGAAAAGAAAAATTTTAATGTAAAGTATTTTAATCATTTGCTCTAAAACCTACATAATAATATGCTTTGAAATTTTTATATGTAATAATTTAAAATCTCTCAAACATCTGATATAATTTTTATAATGTGGCTTTGGGTTTTTAGAAAATCATTTACAGGCCAAATTTTTTTTAACACACTGTATATATATTCAAGAGGAATAGCCTCATATAAGGATACCGGCTGCAACTTTTGATGATGGTTGCAACCACCTTTACGACCATTTTGTTCCTTTTTTTGGATCACGACATGGAACACTAGCCTCATATAAAGTTAATTAGGAATTTATTTTGTGAGTTATTTTTATTATATTTACTTTATTCTAATAAAAATCATATGAGCAGGATATTGCCTTTATTTAAAAAAAAAAAAATGACACCTAAAAGAATCAAAAATAAAAGAAAAGTAGAAAAAGAAATAGCCGATGTTGCTGGATAAGTGTCTATCATAAGGATGGTGGTGGTTATCGCTACTCATCGTCACTCTAGTTAATAATTAATTTCCGTTTTTTGCTCTTGATTGAATTACTTTGTAATTGTGAATTGCTGAAAAAACGGACCAAAGTTTTAAAAATAGTAGCAATATTCTTTTTTTTTTTTTTTTTTGCAAAAATGCCACTAAAAAATCAATAACAAAAAAGAAGTAAACAAATTGGGAAGATGTTGCTGGGTAAGTGTTTATCATAAGGAATGGTGGTGGTGGCGGTGATGGTCACCACTTGTCATCACTCTAGTTTATTAGAACTAATACGTGTTGTTAACACAAAAAAAAAGATTTAACATTTGCCGTGCCACGATCTTCTTCCAAAACTCGCGAGTCGTGCGACTTCCGCGCAGTTTTCTCGCCGATTGTCTCCTTTTGCGTCTAGCCGCGCCTGGTCTTTTCGGTTTTTGGCGCGATCAACGTTTTCACCATATTTAGCAAAAATTGTGTCGTGCGGCAAATGTTTTGTTTTATAAAACGGTTGCAATTGCATTGAAATTGAGTTGCATTGAATTGAATTGCAAAAGCAATGCGTTGCAATTGCAATTGAAACCTAATTTTTTGGAAAGGAATTTTTTGCTTTTGCTGAGTGGTAAATTTTTTTTTTTTATTTTTCTGAAAAAAAAAATTTGATCACGTAATTTTTATTGCAAAGAATAATAAAAATTATTCAGTGTCACAACTCTCATCACCATCGTCGTTTACCACTGTTTCATTCTCATTATTATCATCATCATTTTCAATGTTGTACGAATTTTCTACTGCATCCGTATAACCTTTATTATTATTGTTGCTGACAACTTCGTTCATTGTATGTGTCAGTTTCGTTGCCCTTGATGTGCTTGATTCTTCCTGTGGGTAGGGTTTCTATTCAAATAAGGTTTATTCGAATTATTCACTTTATTCGTTATGAATTTGAGTATTCGAATTACATTGAAAGTTTATTCGAATAAATTTTAATTGTGACAAATACAAGTTTACAGCATGAATTCGTATATAAATAAATTACCGCAAGAAGTTTTAAGTCTTCTCCATTACTCTGGCAAGTTACTATTATTTATTATTATTTTATTGCTCCGAATTTCAATGTAAATTCTAATTTTATTTCATTAGACTATTGGAATCGAGATATAGATTTGTGGGAAGTTATCACTTGGGATATATTTTTTATTAATAAAAGACCTGGCTGCACACAACAGTCTGCACATTCGGTACTTTCAAGTGAACTAAATATACTAATGGAAAATCAGCAAACAAATAGTAAATCCTATCAAAAAGCAAAGGACATGTATAACCAACTGAAGGTCTGTTTTTTTTTTTTTAAATAAATCTCCTAACATAATACACATGCTATGCCCCGCGACTGAGGTCGACTGCGTTCAAGTTCTTCTGCGGTTTACTTGGATGGGGAAGAAGAGTTCAATGCTCAGTGCATTTGTCATTATGTTAAGAGATCCTAACCACACCCTGCGACTGCGGTTGAGCAACTTTGTTGTACAGGGCATTTCTGCGGTTTGCCTGAAGTGGGGAGTATGTTATGGCTGTTCGCCATATCATATGCGGTTAGGCATTATTAAAACTGTGCAAACTGTCACCCTCAACTATGTTAAAATATTAATTTTTTTTCTTTTTTATCATACAAGAAAAAGGATATTTCAATCACTACAGTTTGGAAAAAATTCAGAAGATCTAGCAAAATTGGCTATACTGAATCGTGTTGATGAGGTATATGTTGACTGTTTTGCAGTTCTTTCTTTGGAAACTTATATTTGAGTGTTCATGTATTTTCTTTTTAATTTAGCAAGCTATCAAATGTATTTCAATTCATGCAACAGCAAATGCTGCTAAAGATCATTTTATAGCATCAACTACACATGTTGAATCCAATATCGGAGCATCTAAAAATTTAAACCTAGATCAACCATTAATTCAGAGTAAATTAACAGAAGAGATCGAAGAAGATAATTACAATGTGCTCAATAATGATCGAAGTGACCAAACGGAGGAATGCTATGACAATAATGACATAGATGAAGAGGATACTTTGACTGAAGAAACACCAACAGAAAATCTTGAGGAAGTGGATCTTGTTTATTATTATTATTTAAAAATTCCGTATTTCACTATTACTAATACGGTTATTATTTTTTTTATTCATTCATTGATCCATTTTGTTCCCGAATTAATTTCTCTTATCATTACATATCAATTTACATATTTTATTTGGGTACAATATTTTTCGATCTTTCCAAAAAAAAAATCTGTCAAGAAACGCAAGGCTGAAATCACATGGGAGTCGGCAGAGGAAGACTCTCTAAAATGCCCGCACCATTATTATTTTTCAAGAATGAGTATGATAGAGATTGTGTCTTCAACCATCATCCAAATTATGTGAACAACAACATCATCTTAATTGATTTGTATGATCCTGTTTTCAGAAAATTTAAAATTAAGGCTTTGGAAAAATTAGATTTTGAACCAGCTCATGTTCATAGTTAAACAATAGGTTATTTTCACACAACAATCAAAGAAAAAAATTAGTTATTACTACAAATTTATTTGTATTTAAAAAAATAAATAAAATGTCTATTTAATTAAATAAACAATATATTTTCTAATAAATCCAAGTATTTAAACTATTCAAATTATTATTATTATTATTATTTGTTTATTCATTTTATTTAAACTATCGAATTATTCGTTATTATTATTCATATGATTCGAATAAACTTTCAATGCAATTGAATACTTAAATTCATAGTGAGTAAAACAAATAATTTGAATAACCTTATTTGAATAGAAACTTGTATAGTTGTATGTAGTGATTTTAATTTAGTTCACGAGATTTGGTGACTTCAATAACTCAGATCACACGCTTGCAATATTTACAGTTTTATGACTTTAGTGTGTCAATATTTAATTTTTTTTTTGGGATAAATCTAATATATTTTGTGTGATACATATTTGTGGCTGAAAAAATAGTTCTTTTTTTTTGACAAATTATAATATAATTAAAAACCACGATGGAAAACACTTTGGATGAAAATAAACATCATGACGATGCTTCTACTGACATAAATGATGAATATTCTGATAAAAGAAAAGAAGAATATGGGGAATGTCCAACCTGCATTAGATATAATACTGAAGATTCATGGTGTCAATCATGTGATCCAAAATTATTAACTGAAGGATGGACTAGTGGCAATGAAACATTAGATGAGTTG